TTTGAGAGTTCATAACGTGCATATCGCCGTTGTGGCGAGACCATTATTTTTCATAGACGTATCAAACATCAAATTCTTTCTTCGTTTGAAACCAAAGTTTTTGGAACTTTGGGAGTTTCTGTCGCAACAAAATTTGGTTACGTTTATAGCTGTCTATTTGCCATTCCAATGCGTAGGCCAGTAAAAGAATTTTTCTCAAGGGTGACCTTCACAGGTCTAAATTCTTCACTATTGGTGATTTTAATGCAAAACACCGCTCATGGAATAATGCTCAAAGCAATTCCAATGGTAATATTTTGAAGAGTTTTGAGTGTATTGGTTTATTTCCTTTAAATTCCGTATAATTGCTTATCTTTTGACATATACGCGTATTTCATCTACTACTTGCAGACTTCATCAGTGCCAAGTACTCAACACCAAATCAATCTCTCCATCCATCTTTTATCTACGGGTTATAAACTAATCAATAGGTACTTAAAATCAGCAGGTATCCACTGCCATGGCACAATTAACCTAACCAGGTACCTGAATGCAGTCTCCAACAGGTAGAGGCATGCTACGATGTGTGGTTTTTGGTAGCATACTAAAGAGTCTCGAGTATCCGTTTCCTTGATCTCTATTAAGCAATGTTGATGGACGTCCAAAAATAAATATTTTGTTTAAATATTTCTAAACTTTCAGCTACGTCTAGTTTCTAAGGCGAAGATACACTCCGCAGGATATTAATGTTATCCTTTGTCAAATTGTGCCCCTTTGTAACTGGGATTTAAATTCTTAATGAAGTCCTTTATCCATCTCTTTGTTAGACTTTTTTACCTCTGCGATGTGTTCCTTAAACCTTGTTTCCAAAGTCCTTTTCGTCTGACCAATGTAGATTTCATTGCAATCTGGACAAGAGATTTTGTAGACTCCGGCTTTCCCTATGACATTTATTGAATCTTTTGTTGATCCTAACAGTGACTTCAGCTGATTTGTCCTGCTGCTGAATACTAAATCTAGGCCAAAACTTCTAAACTTCGAAATCAATGGTTTGGTAATGTTTTTGTCGAAATTCGCCGATAGTCGTTTTAAGCCCTCAGTTACTGGTGTAAGAGTTGTCGAAATACGCCTAAAATGATCCCTTGTTCTGTTATCGATTACTGCTTGAATTGTTTTTCTTGATACCCAATAAGTTTAGCGATTTCGAAAATGTGAGCTATTTTCTTTGATTTGTGAACCATGTGGTGAAAAGCGGCCATTTTGTGTTGATGGGAATGATATGAAGTGCTTGGTATTACTCTATTTGTATTTGTTGGTTTCCTATGGATTTCGAAATTGAACGAAGACGTTTCCCTGATGATGAGAAGATCTAAGAAGGGGAGTTCAGTTAACACAGCTGTGGTTCAATCCGTCGAAGGTTTTGTGGTAAATCGCTCGACGCAGCAGTTTTCAGAAGAACAATTGACACTTCTCTACAAGGGATTAGGATATGCGATCTCCTCAAAACCTGACGTGGAAGAGGCCATCGTTGACATGGAGACTGCAACCACTCACACACTTCCTATTCAATTACCAAATATCGAACTTCGATCCAAATATTCTTTTGCAAATCAAAGATGATGTTGATTATGCTCTTGAATCTCTGACAACTTCTATAGTTGAAGCAAGAGCTGATAAATTCGATTGAATTATAATTATAATAGACGATCTGCTCTTGATCCGTCTTAAAAATGTCCCTAGGAGACAATATCAAAGAACACGCGATCCTGCCATGAAAGTTATCTGGCGGAATTTGCAAAAAACACATTAAAAACGATTCTCTACCCTGAGAAACAAAACTTTTGAAAATAATGCTTCTAAAGTAGACCCGAGGTCCAAACCCTTTTGGAAGATAACAAAATTTTTGAAAAAATCTAAAAAGCCTATTCCAGCGCTAAAAGAAGGATGTAAAATTGTTATCACAAATTTGGAAAAAGCTCAGAAACTTGCTAAGCAATTCGAGAGTTCCCATAATTTCAGTTTGGGTCTTACTAGTCCTATTGAGAATCAGGGTGCTCGGGATTATCTGAATTTGTTCTCTTGGGAAAATGATTTTGATGATTCCTGGGGCACTGATTTGGACGAATTAAGATCTATGACTTAACAGTTTCATAATATGAAAGCTCCAGGTGATGATGGAATTTTCTATACTCTCATAAAAAAACTCCCAAAAAATTGTTTAACATGTGTTTCTAATTGGCATACATCCCGAAAAATGGAAAAAATGCAAAAGTGTCTGCAGTTGAAGCTTCTAGCTACCGTCCAATATGTTTGATTTCTTCAAAAAGAAAACTTTTTGAAAAGATAATTGTTGCTACGCTAACTAGCAACGCTGGTCATCTAACCGATAGCACCGGTGAACCTTGACAGTGGCGGCCGATGAAAGGAGTGACGAATGACAGGTAAAAGGAGGAAAAGGAAAAAGCTCGTGTGAACGGCGAACTGAAGTGGATTCACTGCTGGACTGGTGTCTCATATACCAAAACGTTAATTTAATTGGAAAAATACCTCTAAAATTTGTTAAAATTAATTATTCAACAAGTGAATTCCTAATACTAGTTATTATTTACATACAGAACTATACCTAATCTCTAAACGTAAGCTATAAATTGATTATTCTATTTCTATGCTGAACTTAACCTAAAATTGATCCAAACAGGCAATTATTCAATCATGGTGATGGTACGGATTCTCGTAGCGTTCGAACTTAATTAGTTGCTAAATCTTAAACTATACCCTACTAGTGGAAATCAAATTGGATATAATCTAAAACTACGAAGCCTACACTAAATTGTAAGTTGATCTACCTTAATTAGTTAAAACGTGCACATACTAAACAAGAAATAAATATTCCAGCTTGAGCTGATCTGGAACCAATAGTTTCCACCGCTAAAAGAAAGTGTAGTGCAATTTGTTCGGGGAACAATAATTTTAAATAGAATGATACTTCACATCAATTCGAACTCAATTTTTGCAGATGAGCAGTTTGGATTTCGCCATGGGCACTCAACTACTCATCAACTGTTAAGAGTTACCAATTTAATTCGTTCAAACACTTTTGAAGGCTGCTCAACTGGAGTTGCTCTTCTAGACATAGAAAATGCATTCGACAGTGTTTGGCAGGAAAGTTTGATTGCTAAATTGAAAAAGTTTAATTTTCCTCTCTATATTATGAAATTAGTTCAAAATTATTTAACTGACAGAACTCTGCTGGTAAATTATCAAAATTCCAAATCTGAACGACTACCTGCGGGAGCAGGAGTTCCTCAGGGTAGCATTCTTCGGCCTATTTTGTATAACATTTTCACTTCGGACCTCCCTGATTTGCCTCAGGGTTGCCACAAATCTTTGTTCGTCGATGACACAGGCAATTCCGCTAATGGAAGAAGTCTTTTCTCCCAACCAGAGCTGGTAAATATTACGGCCGTCATGTGACGATGAGAAAACAGATCCTCTCACTATTACGAGACGAAACTACCTAGCATTAGCTTTCTTGTCATTTTTCAATGATAAAGCACTCATGAGAATCATTCTTATGTGGTTTTGACATCAACATTTCTAACTGATTTAGATGAATTTAAGCAAACAACCGTATGTTATCGGTATACATTATTAAGATTTCCTCGGTATAAGTAACTTTAATTGCATTAAATGAGCTAGTAATCACGATGATCACAGCACTATCACGTTCTGTCATGATAAAAAATTCGATGAAATTTTGAAGAAAATCTCTATCATCGTTTTCTCATCCAATGATAGTGACAGAAGTATCTTTGTAAATATCGCGTGAGTACATGACATTTGCCAGCTCTGCTCCCAACGCATCCAAAACTCAACTTATACTATTTCCACATAAGCCTAAAGCCTCTATTTTGAAACCTAGTAGTAGTCACATAGTCACTATGAACGGAGTTCCAATTTCCTGGTCAAACCAAGTGAAATATCTTGGATTAGTACTAAACCAAAAATTAACGTTTAAAGATCACATTGATGGCATTCAAGCCAAATGTAACAAATATATAAAATGTTTCTATCCTCTTATAAACAGGAAATCCCAAATTTCCCTGAAGAATAAACTTCTAATATTAATAACCACTGTGCATTGTCCACACCAGAGGAGGGGTAGCGTATGAACAACCACGTGTGCTACCACCAGGGGTAGCTTACCCGAGCAAAGTCGGTTAACAAAATGAAAGCAAATCGATATTAAAGTGTGCAGTTCCTATCATAATGAAAACTTATTTTGATTTCAAATGTTGCGACATAAGTCTGATATCATATTGTGCTTTCATTATGCAGTCAAGACGTTTTAAATGAAAGCAACTTAACTTGAAGTTCTGCTGTTTACGTCTTGTTTAAAATTTAATTGAAATTCATCTGTCGTTGAACTAATGATTATCGTTTATCTGATTTGTTTAACACATTTTAGGTCATTCGTGACTTGCCCGCGGTGAGATTGGAGCCTAAGTCTTTCAGCTTGAGAAACATGAATGGTAACCATTTACTCTAGGCCCGTATTCAGTTAAACATTATGAATGCAAAATCAGTAATCAAATTGATTTCATTGAAAGCAGGATTAGTTTTCCGTTTGCTTCAACAGTGTAAAATTTTGCTCTCATTTTTGCTGTGTTAACCGTTAAGTCAACCAAAATGAGATCAACTGGAGTATTCAATATAAGTTACATCATAACAGCAAATTTTGATTTCAATTTGATCTTCAGCTTTGCTCGGGTATTGTACCAAGTTTCCGTTGCGTTCCGAACGTTCCACAATTTCGTACAAACATTGGAAAATTCCCGCGACTATTTAGATTATTACCAACCGGCACCCGTTCCGCACCGTTCCCCTGAACGGGGTAGCCCACTCGAATGAGGTTTCCCGCTCCCATTCGATGCGATTTTATTGCTTCGCACAAATTAATCAATAAACTTAGAAGAAATAACAAAAAAAAAATCCTCCATCGAATTTGACTTCTTCCTTACCGTAGTCCACCCGGAGGGCATGGGCGGAGAATCGGAGCACCGCCGTCTTGTCCACTCGGCGGGGCGATTCGGCCACATGCGGCACCATGCCCGACAGTTCCTGTATCGAGCCATTGAGCTTGTCGCGGCGGTTCTTTTCCGCTCGGTTCCGCGCTTCACGGCCATTTCTGGAAGAAGACAAGAAAAAGAAAACGGAGATCTCTGTTAGATTGAATTCTGTGAGACCTTGTGGTAGTGTAATTCTTTTGAAATACGATGGAATGGATTTTTTTTTCTCTCTCTGCGGCAAGGCGAGAGGGAAATCACGCAAACGTTATTAATTTGGCGATTCATTAATGGGATTGATGAAAACGATGTTGTTGTCGTGATGTAACTGCCGGAGGAACGATTTGAGGAGGGGCGAGAATGGGGCCAAAACATAGAAAGAGCAGTCGTCATATTGATTACAAATAATCCCCGTTTGATGGAGTCTTTCGGAAGTCAAACAAATCAATGAGATTGCTTGGCATGAGCGTATTAAGAAGGCACCTCATCTACTGAAATATCGCTGAACAGTATATAGCAGTATTTACAGTGTTGGTCAAAATTTGTGTTCGTGCAAGACATGTAATTGAAATAATGCTGGAATTTATCATTTAGTGTTAAAATAAGAAACAAAGGGTGAGATCTAGTGGAAATAATTGAAAGCACTTGAAGAAAATTGGAAATAAAATTAGCATATTTTTTTCCGAATGTTGTTTATGTAATACCATGCATTTTCTAACTGCACTATCTGAGACTCCTTAAAATTAGAATTCAATTAAACTTTCTTGATAAAAATTTTCAGAATTTTGTTTCTAATCAAAATTTAGTTAACTTTTATAAAATTAGAATAAATGCAATCATCAATGATCAATCATCGACTAGGGGAAATGGCTCTAATGTTGGCCTACGTCCATTTCCCCTATGATTCATTTTCGAAAAATTAAAAAAACACAGTTTTTTCGACGCATCATTTAAGATTGCAAAAAGTTTGCGCTATTTTATTCTTTTTGCAATTTTACATAATATGACGCGAGTATTTTTTTTTGTCAATCTGAAATGATGCAACCAATAAACTGCTTTTGAATTTTTGGAAAATGTATCATAGTAAATTGAACCTGAATGGTCCCTTAACTTCCCTGACATTCTCTGGACTTCCGTGAATTTCTGAGAACATTTGGTGATGTGTTCGCTTTGTTTTAAGTTTTCTAAACTTCTGTGAACTTCCTCGGGCATCGTTGATTTTCTTTTAATTTTCCCAAAAATTATATGAACATCTCCAATGCTTCCCAAATTTTCCTGATATTAATTGAACTTTTAACTAGCTTTCCTAAGGAACTTTAAATTCCCCCGAAAGTTTGGCACATTCTGTAAAGTTCCTGCAGATTTCGTAAAATTAATGGAACTTCCCTGAAAGTTCTCGCACATTGTCTAAAATCTATGAAACTGCCCGGAAGTTTCTAACTTCCACTTTTCGCCGGTTTTCACAATCCCGGGTTTGGGGAAATAAAATTTCACGATTCTGGAAAGTGAATAAGGATAATTAAACATGTTAAAAAAAAATGTTAATTTCAAGTAGTGAGAGGCATGTTTCTTTTTAACAAATGTTGAAATTCTTTGATTTATTATTTTAAAGATTATTTTGTATGTACCCATTTACCGATACTTTCAGCCGCAGAATGATTCATATCCTTTGAAAAATTGTTTTGAGAAGGATATTTTTTCAATGCTTTCAGACATGAATACATAAATTTGATACATCAGAGGAAACAGAAGAATATGAAACGGAAGAAAGTTGAAAATGTGCGACAGTTAATGAAGAAAGCGGGAAAAGGTGAAGACGCGGATGAAGCAGATTAAGCAGAAGAAGTATCGGAGAAGGAAAGCAGATGTAGGAGTAGAAATCAAGGCGAATATGAAGAGGATAACGGAGGAAGATGAAGAGAATTACGGAAGGTGATGAAGAGGATAACGAAAGAAGATGAAGAGGATAAAGGAACGGACGCTGACGAAGAAAAGTGTAAAAGAAAATACAGGACATGTGAGGATGACGATGAAAAAAGATGGAGCGGAAGAAAGTTGTTGGAAAATGGAAATGTACCAAAGCGAGAAAAGGTGAATAGTTATATAGAAGAAGGTGAAGCAGAAGAAGTATATGGGAAGGAAAGAAAATGAAAAAAAAACGGCAAAGCTAAGAAAATCCGAAGGAGGTGTAAAGAAGACATAATTAGAAGGAGGAAAGGAAAAGAGAAGACGAGGAACCGCAAAGGAGAATGGAAAAATCGAGCGCAGCAGAGGAGCACGGCGGAGCAAACCGGAACATGGATGACGAAGACTAGTCAAGGAGAAAAAATAGAAGACGATGAAGAAACAACCTGGCAAAAGAAGACGTTTTTCATCGTGTGATTTTTTAAACGTTGCCAGTTTGCCATTATACCGGAGGCATCGTGTTCGGAGTGTTCAAAAAACACAACTATTTTAGTTCTAGAAGGTGTTCAAGGATCTGCAATTTCTATAGAACTCTAATTGTATGTAATTTTTATGAGAATAATTCAAAAGGAGAGTTGGTTGGAAATGCTATCTAGCATGAAGCTTTAGTGTGATAATTTATTAGCTAGAGAATGGTGTTTAGAAGAGGTTAGGTAGATAGTTCCGTTAGAGGGCCATTAATGCGACAGTGCAAGTCAAACGCACACTCTTTGCCTAACCCGTACGATGTACGCGGAGATTTGCAGTATGTCTTCAAATCTACAGGCATAAAGTGTGCGTCTGACCTTGCTCAAATACTGCCTGCGGCTGTGGAATAGTTCTAGCGACGTTTCAACACTACCTTAAGCCCACAGTTGCCGAAAGCATTTCCAGTCGATGGTGTGTGGTAAAATGTTAAGTCAAAAGAAATGCCGAGAAGAATTACCACATTTTTTTGGTAAATATCCTAAGGGAGTTCTGACTAGAAATCCAAAATAAGTCCGATATAGTGTCCTAAGGAATTCTGAGATGAATTCATAGAAATTTATGGGGAGAGGAAAGGAAGTTCTGAATTGCATTTCTCGATAATTCATAGAATAATTCCATAGGAGTTGTGAAAAGAAAATCAAAGAGAATTCTGATGACAATTTTATGGGGATCGTGAGGAAACGATTTTGACGAGAATTCATAGCATTACAAATGAAAATTAAAATGGTTTTCTGAGAATAATTTCAAAATTTAATAATATTAGGATTAGGATAATATTAAAGGAATTCTACGAAGGATTCCAAGCAAATATCAAGGATATGTTTAAGAGAATTTCGAAGAGAATTTCTAGGTACGAGAAAAGTTCAAAGGGTTTATAACAAATAATTTTGTAGTCTTCTGTTCGGGACATAAAACCACTGCGATCATAATAAATATAATACAACTTATAATTTGAATGAACATATATTAAGGTTAATTGATGTTTTCCGCTTCTGCCATAGCATTCTCTGAGTTTTCCCGGTTTGCTGGAGAGTTTCAAGAGAATTCCGACCTAATTCTAAGATACTAAGGGCGTTTTGAGAAGATTTCTGAGAATATATCCAAACGAATTTTGGGAAAAGCGCTTCTTCATTATAAATGAGATGTTAAAATATTTGCGACATGTATTCCAAGCGTATTCTTAAGAAAATTAAGATGAGAATAAACACATTCTCAAGATGATGAATTTTCTGGCAGGAACTCCAAAAGTGTTCTGCACAGAATTCCTGGAGACAATTTCAAGGGAATACTGGACAGAGTGATAAGATTATTGAGGGAAATCCTGAAAGTAAAAGTAATTGTGCAGACTTTATGCAAATACTCAAGGGATAATCTTTTATGCACACTGTGCCGAAGCACTTCGTAGCATACTGATCGGAATGTTAGAGCACATGATGACAAGTATGACACAGATTATAATATAAAACGGCATCACTGCTTTGTGTTCACATTTTGAAAAGCGATGCTAAGGTTTACTACCTTGTCAAATTCAAAGTAAGCTGGACATTTTTTTCAGTTTAATTTTGACGTAGGATTACGTCTTTCGGCAACATATTGGAGGTGCAATTTAAAAAAAAAACAAAATCGACCGCGTTACGAAAAGTGGTCAGGTTTTGACCACATATAACTCTGTCAATAGCGGATGGATTTCAATTCCAAACAAGCTAATCGATTGGAATTTTTTCTACGAACCTGCTGGAATGAAAAATTTATAAATTTTCAATAGGTCACTATTGAAAATTAAACAAATGTCGAACTGTTGCAATGGTGATCGAAATTATCACCGCCTGCAAAAAGCGGCTTCCCTAACACAGATTTCAAAATCGAATTCCATCTGGTCTCACCGAACCGAACCGGTCCGGTCGGTCGTCATCAGCAGTATCAGCAGCTGTGCTTTCGGTGCGTGGCGTTGAACATTGTTCTCAAGTACACAACGAAAGGCTGCCCGCAAGAAGCGAGCTGCAGCGCACATGAGCGTCCATTAACCGAAGAAGGAGGAAGAAGCCGCACCGCAACTGATCGAATTCAGTAGCTCTTCGTGAGTCGCTGTGAGCCATCTATGCCAAGCGTGTCACCATATTTCCAAACAACATACAACTCACCATCATCATCTGTGTTGAACACCTTAATAGATCAGCATTTCTCAACCATCACGACAAAACGGTTCTTTTTCGGACCACCATACATTTTTGTTGTTGAAGATTTAATTTTCATAGAACATTCGCTCGTCTTGCTGCCAACCACATCACCTTCAAAGCTCTTTGATTATGTACCTAGCAACCAAACTGTTCTGGTCAAATGCGTAACAGTATTGATGAGATACATCAAAATTCTAACAAGGACCGAATACCACATGACCTTGAAAATTAATCAGAAACACTTGGAGTTAAGGTAAGGTTTTCTCCAGGACGCTATAAAAAGCAAAATATCTCGAATTTATATGACTGATTGCGAATGCCTCGTGATTAAAAAATTTTTAGCAAGGAATTCCTCCAATCAATTTACACTTTTTTTATTATCTATTGAATAAACCGACAATTCTGTGCGATTTTTGCACGAAAATGCGTAATTTTGTCATGGTAAAAACTACAAGGGACAGCCCTATGGGGTTGTACGCAATGGTGAAGTAGGACTACGTGGTCTTATAGAA